AAAAAATATAAAATTTAATTCAGTTCAGGCAAATAATAGTTCCACGCAGTTATTGCGGAGCGTAAACTTTAATTTATTTCAATCTTCAAATTATTTGCAATCCTTCGCGTATCCTCGAAAAATTTAAATAATAATTTTATGTCAACAATCAAAAGAGAATGTTTTTCCGTCCTAATCAATTCTAGATGTCTTACATGTTTATTTATTATTGCGACTCTGTATTTTGTTTATACATACACTACCCCCGAAAAGTATCCGGACAGAAATAAAATTTTTATGTTTGAAGTTTTAAGTCGCTGAACTTAATGCGGCACTGTGCTAAATCAAAGAGTAAACAATTTTGGCATTTTAAGAGATACTTTAAGATACTTTGTAACGATTTTAAGTTTAATGCATTCCTACTACTCTAAACTGTTAAATCTGAGAGACATGTTCGCCATATTGAAAATTGCAATATTTGACGGAATGCACGGCCTTGGGAAAATTTTCTTGAGGATCCCGACCTCTAGCTGTCTCCCGAAAAACAACCGTTTCCGCGTGGTTATATTATGCGCCAGGACGCTTTATGGTTATTTGTTAACGAGTGTACTCGCGATTCTTTCCTGCCGGCACTTATTCGGTGGGTGAGTCGTCACCTGGTCGCTTTAAGGTTCTTCTCGACATCTGTTCGACACATGCTACAAGCTTTTACTCAAGAATATTACTTTCGTTTTTTTTGGTACAAATAGTCATGCGAGGACCGCCGACGCGATGTGACACCGTCTGGAAATCCTTGGCTGATTTAAAGCGATTATCTTGAGAATGATGAACATCCTCAGCGCCCTAGCTTCCATTACGCAAAATCCTTATTGTTGCGTATGATTACGTGAGACACATGTGCAAGGGATATGTCGGTTCGAGATAACGATAATGTGAAATTTCGAAAAACGGAAACATAGGTGAACATAGCTTTTATAGCGAAAATTTTATGGAGTTGATAATAATCGCTACCGGACAAAGAATTGGGATAAAAAATTTTGTATCCTAGAAGTATCACCTGCTTGCTCAAATATATAAAAATAAGAATAATAACATGTGTAAAAAAAATAAGGGAATCGAATTTAATTAATTGCAAAAAAGAGGCTAACGCAATGACCATTCTAACAATAGACTGAAATGTATTTAGTTTTGAAAAAGATGAACGCTCGTATAGATTACGATTCATCAACACCGAGAGAAAAGTATAGTTGGATTAACCATAATTTAACTATAATTTATAGTGAATTTCGGGGCCAATTAATAATATTATAATCAATTTAATTGTGCAAATTATAGTTACTTTAACAATGAATTATGATTATATATTATGATTAATATTATTATTTTTTCGTTTACTTATTTTGTAGTTATTATTAAAATATAAATAGTAAGCAAATGTTAAGAAAATAGTTACACTTACTATAATTGCAGTTGCATTTACTACATAAAAATATTTATTTTATTTGTCTTGCATATATCTTGATATCTTACTATATTAATATTTAAAATTATTATAATCTGTAGTAAAATTTTTTCATATTTGGTAGGACTATACATATAATTAAGATTATTATTACTATGCTACGTCCGGTGGACTCCACGATTTCTTCGTTTCGTAAACACGCGATAAAGTAAATTCTTAAATATAGTAACGGCTATCAATCAACAAAATACCTCGACCCAACGAAATTGCCCGTTGTCGGTTTCCTTGGGAAGAATTCGCTTTTAGCAAATAGTATAGAACCGAACGTGAGAGATCCTTATTACCAAAAACAGATAAGGTATCTCACAGTACACAATTTACCTGCGACGAAAAACCTAAGTTCGGA